AGAGAGGGGAGAAATAAATCCTGGCAATATTTTAACATAATGTTCTTTGGTGTTAAGTGAAAGCTTGAGAAGACAGATGTTTACAATTATCCATTCACAGATAGAACAGCTAATATGCTACTAGAGTACATTCAGTTTTATAACATATGTAGTGAAGAATTTACTCTTAACTTGACTTTTACTGATAATGCTTTTTGGAGAAGAAACAGAAAAAATCGGTATTCCTTTAATGCTTTGTGCAGTTGAACTACTGCCATGTTTTACTAAATGACAATGTTATCTACATTACAGAATAAAGAATTAGGGTTATGAGGCATACTGATGTCACTACTTCCCAATGTTTTTGTTTCAGAAGATAGTCTTATTTAAATTGACTCATTCACATTTATACAGAGCTCTGTGATATTTATGTAAAGAGTTAAATATAATATGTAGATTAAAGAACTGAAAAATATTCACACAGTATTCAGTGTGGAAGAAATACTACAGTTACATGCATACAGAGTATCCTAATTACAATTTTAGCTAAACCCTTTGAAATGGAGTGAGAGTTTATCATTTTATTCATCCTATGTTTGGTTTCTCATGGTTACATATTTGGGATTCTTGTTACTATAAATCTTTAAGTACAAGCTTTATTCAACAAGGTCTTATGCCTCACAATAACTGTTAAAACTGTTTTTTCTTAAAATTACCAGTATAATACCTAGTTCATAAGCAGCACAATGCACTTCCATACAGAAGTTTTGTAATATCAAAATGTAAAAGTGTGTGAACTATCTTGAATCTTTTTTAAAAGCACACGTCTCTAAAATTAAAAATTTATTTAATTTTTTAGGCACATACTACATTAGTTTCTACTGGTGGGATCCACAAAGCGGACACCTAACAGCCATTTTAGGTGCCTATGTCTTACATGTAGGCACTACTGACATCCACAGTAATATGCTTTTGATGCATAATGCTATAGAAAACTGAAGTTCCTATTAATCTAACTTTCTACCATGGAAATCCATGGTTGGCACCTACACGTCAGCAGCTGTGTGTGGACACAGCCACCTAAATCCTGACACCATACAGTTGCTAGGCATCTGATTTAATCTCCAGTTGGCTCCCCCATTTATCTTGCCTTTAGGGCTCAATCTAGTAAGTGTGCTAAGAGCACTCACCTAGAAGGCGGGAGTACAAGTAAAACTCATTGCTCCATATCAGACAAGAATGAGACTTGAATCAGAGCCATCCATATCTTGGTTGAATGCTGTAGCAATGGGAAAAAATTATGAGAGTATTTACAGATATTCAGATTACTAAAAATGTAGATAGGTATCAACTGGGATTATTGTGCTTTTTAAAAACCCCTTAGATGTCTAGCTACATCTTTAGTCACCTAAATAATTTTACAAATCTGGCCCCAAGAGCATACAGCATTAAGTACAGAATTAATTCCAAAAAGAATAGTTTAAATTTGTGCAGTCACATTGCCTTCATAATATCAGGATAAGCAACACTGAGTGTACCTTACATCATGTCCGGAAGACTGACAAATCTACTCTCTGGTATGCTACCAGAGAGGCGTGAATTCCAAATACAAATGACTTCCACTGTGCTCTGTTGCCAGTTCTAGAAAGTTCAGTCTTAGCAACAAGCAGCATAAGCGTCCCAACAGACCTTAACTGCAGGGAGGGGTATAAGGAGAAAGGCAGTTTCTTTAGTAACTGGCTTCCTGGCCAATCAGGGATTTCAATGTGTATCCAACACCTTACCCACCAAGTTACAAAGGCTTAAAAAACATACTTCAAAAATTCAAATACTTTGGCTTTGGCTTTTTTTTTTTCATTTCCATAGATTTTATTCTGCAAGCAGAAATGTTTATTATTTTCTATAGCTATTCCTTTAGAATAAAGGTCTATATACTTTAATAATCTGACTATATGGTAATAACAGTAACCAGTAACTTTAATATGTATAATATTTTGAACAAAGAAGGAAGCAAATTCTGACATATAGGGTGTGTCTAGACTGGCAAGATTTTGCGCAAAGCAGGTGCTTTTGTGCAAAAACTTGTCAGCTGTCTACACTGGCCGCTTGAATTTGTGCAAGAGCACTGACTTTGTAATGTACAAAATCATTGCTTCTTGTGCAAATACTTTCACGCTCCTGCTCGGGAAAAAGCCCTCTTGTGCAAGAATACTTGCGCAAGGGTGCCAGTGTAGACAGGGAAGAACTGTTTTGCGCAAAAAAGCCCCGGTGGCTAAAATGGCGATCGGGGCTTTCTTCCGCAAAATTGCGTCTAGACTGGCCACGGATGCTTTTGCGCAAAAGCACTTTTTGCGCAAAAGCATCTGTGCCAATCTAGATGCGCTTTTGCGGAAATACTTTTAATGGAAAAAGTTTTCCGTTAAAAGTATTTCTGCAAAATCATGCCAGTCTAGATGCAGCCATAGAGTTGGCATGTGACTGCTGAAAAAGACAACTAAATTCATTGCAAATGATGGTTATGAAGAAAGAATCAGTTAAGCTTGGTCTTCTATGCATTTAAAATGTTTATGAAAATAGTGATGATAGTAACTGATCTGGGAAAAGTTGGAAGGAAGCTTTATTAGTGAAATTTTCCCCACTGCTGTACAAATCCCAAGAAGCCAACCATGACTTCCCATTTATTCATCTACTCTCAATGTTGGAGTCTCAGCAGAGCCACTGTTGAGGTATTAGGTTAACACAGCACGCCCGCCATGCTGAAGTGATTGGCCCATAGATATACAGAGTTGCAGTCCCCCTCTATGGCTATGTCAATAAAGCCCTTGTAAAGTTGGGCTCTGCAACAAGCAAGTGTACAGAATGTCATGTGGATCGTACACATCCTGCATACCTTGTGTTAGAACTGCACAACAAATGTGGAAGAAGAGACCAAATTTGACTTCATGCATCAAGTGAGTTTTTATGAAACATCTTAACTTTTATTTTGCTGACTTCACTCAAAAAAGATACTACACAATTCAATCATGAATAAAGATCGAAGGCACCATCCCCAATATACAGTAAGCCAGTAAAGAATGAGAAGGTTGTAGATATTTTATAATAAACCAAAGATTGTGTAAGTTTTTGGTCCATTGAAGCTTTTATATTTTCTCTTTTTCATATTCAAGCAAATATGGCTCCCTCTCTCAACTCATCTGAAAGGTGGTTCCCCTTCCCATCTTAATAAAAATGTCTCAGATTGAGCTAAACCATGGAACAGTGGTCTCTGCTAGCTGGTGTAACCTATCTTATAAAGTCTCTGGTGGCAAAAATACAAGGCAGTGATATAAACCAAACTAACTCTTGTTCAGCATGGCTGTCTACAGTCAGCCAAACCACTATCTTCTGGGGATTATTCGCTAGTTGGATTTACTGGCCAGAATTTAAAGCTGCTTTTCTCTGAGACTGAATCTCTTTATGGTTGGTGTCGATTCCCTAGTGGGGTGGGCATGGTGAATCATAATGTTCCCATTATGCCTCTGGTGTTTAGGGCAACAACAAAGCTCCTTCCACTCTTGTTTCTGGTAAGTCTTCAATTGGTTCCCCAGCTGTGTCCCAGGTTTTTCAGTTTGGCTTCTAGGGCACATTGCTATGTTACATTTTCTCATGGTCACTGAACTAAATCTGGCCCATTACCTGGATCCTGCAATGACTTTCAAAATTCTGTTGAAGCACAATTCCCAAAAGCAACACCAAAGGGTCAAATAGTAGCAACCTTTTTTAAACCAAAAATCAAATTAAAAACTTTGGAGGAACCCTTTAGGGATCTAGAACACACTCACTGCAAATGAAGACTAGTAATTTGGTGCTATTATTTCCTTCTCTGCAGGGATGCAGCAGCACCCCATAGCCCACTGGATTGGGAGAGTCTTATATCTGGTGTATTAGGTATAGCCTGTGTTCCTGAAGCTTTAATTTAAAAAAAATGGATGTTTCTAGCCCTTATTGTTGCAGAGAAAAGCTAGAGAACGTGAACATAAAAGGGCCCAAACCCCAGTGGGCAAATAAAAAGAGGGTGAGCCCATGTTTTTATTTGTTAAAACCTCAAGATTTGTCAGCCAGTCTCACGCTTCCAGAGGTGCCTGGCTCGCTGTGTTTGAAGGCTTGAAATTGGCAAACCTAGTCACCTTTCCATTGGAAAGAGCGCAACAGGCAGGTCTTCAAATGGGGGCGAAGGGGAGTTTGGGGTGGAAGGCAGTCAAGGAAATGTGCAGGAGTCAGAAATAGCGAGAGGCAGGCAAGGCAAAATCCAGCCCTCGCCGAAGCAGATTATTCTCACCGAGGGTGAGTGGGTGGCGGGCGCAGAAAGGCGGGGACGTGGGGAGGGAGGGGGAGGCGAAAGAGCGCAACAGGCAGGTCTTCAAATGGGGGCGAAGGGGAGTTTGGGGTGGAAGGCAGTCAAGGAAATGTGCAGGAGTCAGAAATAGCGAGAGGCAGGCAAGGCAAAATCCAGCCCTCGCCGAAGCAGATTATTCTCACCGAGGGTGAGTGGGTGGCGGGCGCAGAAAGGCGGGGACGTGGGGAGGGAGGGGGAGGCTGCGGCGGCAGTGGAGGGCGGGGAAAAGGAGAGGTGGGGGGACTGTGCGAGCAATGGCGCCAGACACGGTGTCCAGCGCGGCAGGATCCGCCCCCGCCGCCGCCGCCTTGGCAGTTGGCCCGC